TTAGACCCATTTTGTTCTACAGTATTTCATCTTCCAATGTTTTCACTTGGAACATGCTGAAATTAAGTAAATAAAAGTATTTTTTTTTTGTTGTGTGGAAGAAGAAATACAAGTTTGTTTTCTATAAATTAACTTTCTACTGCCCATAGACAATGAGTAAGCCTCACCAGGTGCCAAAGGGTTAAACTGTTAACTTCAACACGAAGACTCGCTTGGTGTTAAATAAGAAATGATCTTTCTTACCAGGTTTGGCTCCCACAGTGATTCACACATGCCATAAGCTTGTTCCACACATGTCCCGCACACTACAAAGTCCTCAGGTTCGTTGGGGCAGCCAATTAAGTCCATGTTACAGATATATGGTTCATTTGTTTTGGGATCTAACCCTGCTATAACTGGCTCTACAAAATATGGTCCAAATCTACAGTTTGTGTACAAAAAAATTTGATTTATTTTTAACTATATTGTTCTTATCATTTCCAAAAGACAAGAATTGGTTCATGAACTACCTAAACGAGCAGTGTTGATGTGTAATAATTTACGAAGTACACGTGTAGATCTCTAAGTTAACAAGATGCAACGTCTACACTTTAGAATAAACTATAGTAATGTCACAAGAAAACTTCATTGCTTTGAAAAGTTATTACACTTTTGTTGTTGTTTAATTTATTCTTACTATAAATTATTTAGGTAAAGCTGAAATCTGCTATCATTTGTTATCTCTCTCAGATTGCTGGATTTAAATCCCTTGAGTATTAATGGTATATATATACACACACACACCTTAAATGTTAATTACTCGTCTTAGTAGACATTGTTCTAGGACTTAAAAAGACATGTATGAAATGAATCTTTTAGATGCTCGGGTTACAAGTCAGGTATTACAAGGTACGAAAACACTAAGTAACGAGTGAATAAATGCCACATAGGAAGAACAGTACTTGTAACATGGTAACTGAACAATGAATTCTAGAGCTAATGATAATTTGTTACTTGAATTCAAGATTTAATCTAATAATTTTAGGAGCAATATAAAGAATGTATGGTGGAAATGGCTGATATAGATATTAAAAACCTTTATTTAAAACACAAAAAAAGGTAACATTTTCAACTGTTAGGTCATCATCTTAACCTGGTGTTCACATTACAGGTTGAAACGTTACTTGTTTTTAATACCCAAATCAGCCATTCCTACTATGTATATTTACTTTAACTGGGTTCCTTGACATCATCGATATAAAAACTGTTTAGATTAACAATAGCTACTGAATAAAAGGTTGTTTTTATCAAATATATATATATCTAAATCATAAAATGTACCACCAACACATCCTGTTATATGTACAAGTAAAATGAACAATGAAACTATAATACGTACCTTCGCTCATAAAGCAAATTAGAAACAACAGCGCTAAATGTTTTGGGTTTGATTTTTCGATTTTCACGCAGCTCATAGAGATTCATTCGAAACTTCAACCGTTGGGCCCTAGAAATGAGAGATTTACACGTTTAGATTGTGAATAAAGAACTGTCCTTCACACGTTGCTTTAACTTATCCTATGATTTTACTGTGTTTATAAAACAGACTTGCCTTACATAATGTATTTCAAAATAAAAGTTTCTGATAAAACTGGAAGATCCTCAAAATCTTGATCTCTTAACTATATTGCTTCAAAACGTTTGTTGTTGTTGTTCAATATTCCTACAGTTCTATTTGAGGGCTAGTGTTGTCATTTATTTTAGAGTGATAGCCCAGAGGGAAAGTAGCTATCAATACCAACATCTCTTGGGATACTCTTTTACCAATGAATAGTGAGATTTATTATCACATAATTCCCCCATAGCTGAAATAACAATCATGTTTGGTGGAGGGTTTCAATTCTGCACCCCACAGATTGAGAGTAGAGCACCCTAACCACAAAATGGTGGGATACAGAAATAATTCAGAAGATTTTAAAGATGACATTGGATCAATTATTATTGATCAAATGTGGAACAGTTTTAATAAAAGAAAAATTTGTTTTCACATCAACAAGAAGTTCAAATGATGCCTTGTCTAGAACAAGTGAAAAAATATTGGAAATAAATTTACAATTTTTGTGTCTAACTTAAATAAAAATTTAATCAGGTCAATGGTTCTCTTTTTTTTCTTCTGATAATGTTTTATTTATGGCACTGATTAATTTTTTCATAAATTTAATTTTCTATTTTCATTATTTTACTCAAAAGTACAAATTATTTTAGGTTTGTCCAGCCAAAGACCATATTCACAATATCACTCATAATTTTTCACTGATTAATCATAATTGTGAAGTAATAACCTGTAAACATTGTATTACATAATAAAAAATGTAAACTTTATTTCTTTAAATATTTAATAACCTTTAATGGCTGGAGACGGCTTGAAAGGGTAATGAAGAAAAAACTTTAATATAAGTTTAACATAACAGCAAATGTACAAAGTTTTGTCATCATCAGGTACCCTTGTCGAAACGTTGTACATTTGCTGTTATGTTAAACTATGTTAAAGTTTTTCTTCGTTACCAATTCAAGCCGTCTCCAGCCATTATTAGTCTCAAAGTGGGTTCCTCGTCATCAAATTTAATAACTTTGTTCTGCCACAAATATCTAATGACCATTACATTACTGAAGTAAAAAATGTATTCAAACCTCAAAGTGTTAAAATTTTCCATTAAAAAGACAGTAAATATGCAGGTGTGGTCATGAACTTTGATAAGAGACTCCAGTTAACGGTATTAACATAAAGTTTGTCTGTTTACCATACGTGAATTACAGATATTGCATTTTTAATTTGGCAAAGTGACCATGTTCTGTTTAAAAAAAATGATTAAATTAAAAACCTTTCCTGATTTAACTAGTTTTAGTGAGTAAGAGAAACTTTAAACTTTTGGATTCATTTATTAATTATTTTCATCTTGTATTAATTAGAAGTTCACATTTTATTACACAGAAGAAAGAAGACTTAGAAAAATATGAATACCACATTAAATTTTGATATTTTTTTACACTCCAGTGTCACAAGTAAACATAGAGAAATTAGAGCCTAGTATTGCAGTACTCCATGATGATCTATATTGTTAGAACATCCACTAGATTTTTTCCAACTTATAAAACATAGGTTAACTACTCTTAACAGTACAGATACACACTGTTGCAAAATAAGTTAATATACAACTCTTCTGCCAGTTATCTTTTAAAAATTAATAATTCTTGTTAAACACATTCAAACCTGTCATTATAATCATATTTTTATATATCAGTAACTCGTCATTTTTAATTTTTGAAATTGGGAGAAAAAATAGATCATAGCAATAGTAATTTGTCAAAACAAAATTCCATATTAACAGATTATCATCGGAAACACGAGGCCTCTATTATACAAATATAATTTGAAAATAAAAGTTTAGTGGTAAAGTTATGATTCAAAATAACAAATACAAACTACGAAGATCTAAAGATGGTAAATATAAGATGATAGACATCACTTATACGAAAACTGGACAGATCATACGATTATCCAAGATTCGGTGTTTGAAATGAAATACAGACCATGTAAAGTTAGTTTGCTAAGTTGTTGAAAAAATTATATATACACTACAGAACAAACATTACTATTTAAATAATGGAATACATTCTAGCACAAGTTATCAAATGCATTTTCTTTTACAGAATTTGAAATTAAAAGAATATAACTCTTACAATCTACATTTTAAAGTACAGATAACTTTGTGAGCTAAATTTTAATTATAGGCTTACTTACTATACTGTGTTGGTTCTTATATCATTTTCTATGTTTTGCCATATCAACCACTAGGTGAGTTTATTTGGGTTTTTTTTCCATGAAAAATGAATGTAATGGCATTAGTCACAGAAAGTGCAATTAATAAAAGTTAACATTTTCCAATTTTGATTTGAAAGTTTACAACTTAACAAAAATAATTTAAAAAAAAGCTGAATAAGATATGTTTACAGTAATGATCGTAATGTCTCAGTTTGAAAACATTGCAAATTAACATTACACCTACACAGTGGCCGTATCAGTCGCAAGTCCTGGAAGGCCCAAATACAGCTTTGGTCCCATCTCGAATATCCTGTCGAAACTTGTGCAGATCAACTGTCCGCGAACTCCCAGGCGACGATCAGCTGCAATAGCGACACAATCCTTCCCTTTCATGGCTATCACAACACCTCCATTGTAAGCTAAAATACTCTAAAAAGTGTAGACATTTACACTAGTTGTAAATTGAAACCACTGATAAACAACAGCACAGAATGAATTGAAATTTAGTGAATTATTTTACTGGCACAATTAAATGTACCAAATGATCCTTATACACTAGGCTTCCACTTCTACTCCCGACAAACAGCTTGGGGTTTATAAAAACTGTTGTCTAGATAGGTAGTTTACAAGAATTGATAATACTTTAAAAAAAAACTATATAACATTGGTAACCAAAATTTGTTAAATGATAATATACTATTATTTGCTCATTTACGTACATTTAATAGTCAAAATTACGGGCTTTCTTTATACAAATATCATCTAAAATTCTCAAAAAGATAACAGGTATAAATAATGAACAAGTGAAATGATATACATTCTGCTAAATGTATGTTATTTAGACTTTAAATGAATGCAACATTGTAAAAAATTGCTGAATAAAAAATTATAAAAAGTCCAACCTTGCTGTGGCATCAGTTTCTCCTAAGTACTTTGTACAGCTTTGACATATATTTTAATCTTTTTTTTTTTAATACAGGCCACAAGATCGACAATGAATCACAAAAACAGCATTAATGTCTTGTAACTTTTTACACAAAATGGTTTCATACATTTATACAATCCATAAAAAATTTTAAAGATTAATTTCAAAAATCGAAAGTATTTACTACGGTTGAAAATATGGTACTGTAACGTCAAATCCATTTCTGTAGAGATGAAGAGGAAGTATAGGTTTTAGAAAAAAAAAACAATTTGGCTGTAGAGGGACAAGATACCGATCTTTTGATGTTTTTATATAATATAAATTAAAAAAAATATAACAAAAGACAACTGTGATCAATTAGAGAGATTATACATGCAAGTATATCATTGTAAACACATAAAAGATAGTACTGGACACCAAATATTTTGGAATACGTTTCTCTTAGTATCAAACATTTTCCTGAAAGTGATTTAATGGTGATTTAAAAAGGAAAATAACGGAAGTTCTAATGACTATATGGGAAATTGTAAAATGATAATATATACTGTCTGATAAAAGATAATGGAGAAATATTATGAAAGATTCTAATCATGATGGATCATGTTTCTCCACATATTATAACTTGCGATTACAAACATGCTGGAATTTCAGCAAGCTGTAGTTGGTCTCGGGACAGCCAATAGAAAGACTGCTATATATTTTAACCACTTGCATCATAATGAATGGCTATACAAAATGACTTAAATATGTCTCAAAATAAGCTTTGTGAGATGTACACACACACAAGATGGAATTCAACATACTATCTCCTGGAACAAAAGAGAACAATGTGCTTCTGACACCACCAGCCTCAACAATAATTAACAGTCCCTATCGAAGCCATATTTAAAACTGTTTAATGACATTAATAAACACACCAGTTTCACAAAGTCAAAAATTTCAAATGTTATTCCAACTGTAGCTACTCTTTAACACTAACTATGAAGGATAATACAGGCCACCTTGGACTCGGATCATTTAACATTAGCTGGAATACCAATCAACCCAAACTTTTGTTCAATCCTCTCTTTAAATTAACACTTTTCATACAACAACAGAGCCAAGAATGAAACAGTTAGAGGAGAAGGCACTGATACTGCCAAATTCACAATCAAATGTGGTTGAAAACAGTGGGCATGACACAAAGATAATTCCTCACCATTAAAAGTACCATCACCTGGTAAAACACAAAAGTTACTGTCACCAGTTATTTATCATCTAATCTATCATCGTGATGGAAACTGAAAAAAAGATAATACTACTATCTCAGGTAATAAAAAGATTCTTATCAACCCCAGCCAGAAGCGTACAGAGTAAATGCCTGTTCTTTGAAGTGACGATACTGATAGGGAAACCAGCTAGTTCTACAAGACTCAAAACAGCTACTGTCCTTATGATCACAACCTTAAGAGACAAATCTGAACAAGAAGGTGAACACTACAGTGTACCTTTAATAAATACATTCAAATCAATTTATCTTATTAAATTAAGCTATCACTTAAAGTGATATACTGGTTTAAATGTATTTACAAAAAAATTATGAAGATGCCTTAAGTTATAAAAACTTAAAATGAATACTACAGTAAGTTCCTTTAAAAAAACTAAGGTTGCTACTTGCTAATAATTAATTATTTAGCAAAATACTACTTAAAACAGATTCAGTTAAATTGGTAAAGATTAAGATGTTTGATTCACTCTAATAATGTTTGTTTGTATGACATAAGAAAGCAGGGTCACAAGTTCAAAAATATCAGAATTAAAAAGATTTATGAACACAGAGCATTGCTGCTAACAAATCAGTTTGATTAATCATTTTTGTAATCTTTAGTACAAAAATTAAAACCTATTATTAGTGTTATAGCTACTGTATATTAATAAACTAATTTATTAATTGACCTTCTGCATGTGTGCTTGTTATTTATAACTTCCTTTTTTTATATTTGTGGAACTTTTTAAGTTATACTCCTTGGTATACGATATGAACATTTCAACTATTTGGCTCCTGAATACATACTAATATATAGTCAAACTGAATATACAAGACAGAGGTGGGTCTTGATAGTACTATATATTGCAAAGGAAAAGGTATTTGGAGAATGGATCTCTCATCCCTCAGAACCCTACTTCAGACAGTAGTGTTTACGTGTTAAGGTTTTTCGTATGCATTTCTTTATATTATAGACACTTTAGAATACTGGTACCGTAACCCTGTTGAGTTTTAACACTTGCCCCCGATACCCACCAGATTTTGAAAGCATCACTAGATCTAAATGTTAACATGTTATAATAATAATATAAACTATCATCAAACCATTAAATAACTATATAAATAACTCAAAGATACATCTGTATCTAGGCTTCCAAGATATAAACCTGAAATATTTAACATTTACAACCTTTTCTTTCCACCACCCACCAGGCTACCATTATAGTGTCCATTACATAACTATATAAATAACTCAAAGATACATCTGTATCTAGGCTTCCAAGATATAAACCTGAAATATTTAACATTTACAACCTTTTCTTTCCACCACCCACCAGGCTACCATTATAGTGTCCAAATCCTAAAAACTTTGAACATCTAAATCAAGTTTCCTTCAATTATTTTATAAAAAATTCAAAACTTTTAGCCTGTCCCCATGGCTTAACTTATAAACAGGGATCATTTTTGTATGCCAATCTCTTAACTTTTTCCAACATGTTGATATTATTCCTGTGGAAAAAAAAAAGACAAAACTAGACAGAATACTTCAAATAAGGCCTCATCATTCTTATACAAGGTTATAAATGGTCTTTGTAGCTAGGTGATTGGACTTCATGCTAATTGCATGTGTGTAGTTAGAAATAATAAAAAAAAAGAATGGTATATTGTTTTTAGGGGTGTAATAAAGGTACAGAGCAAGTTTTTTGTTGTTTTTTTTTGAAAACACAGGATTAAGCTGCATAAGCTTTGTTTGTTTTAAAGAAATTCAGAGGGACTCTGTGAAGTTTCAAACACATACAAATTTCCTTCTTTAAAATGTTTCTTTCATTATTAGTTATTATATTTTTTATAAATTTTTATCATTATTTCTACAATTTTCTGCATTTAAACCTCAACTTCCAAAAGTATTATAATACACATATAAATAGCATTTATGATAATTTTTTGAGTCTCATCATCCAGCCCAAATCACAAATTCTGGTATTTAACAAAAGGTCTCAGTGACTCGTGTGCAAGACAAGAGATTAATCTGAAATGTTATTTTTATACGCCTCTGATTTTGAATACGAAATGGACAAATTAAGATGAATGCTGAAAAAAACGTGTGAACTTAGTATACTGGTCTTAGCTCTGATGTCTTGTGTCAGTCTTACTCTTACTATAAGTATAAATCATCTAACCAAGTTAGTCATATTACCTTTAAGTTATTTGTTTGCACAGATCAATTATTTAAGTTTTGTAATTGTAACTTAGTTAAAATTTGAAACTTCGAACTTATCATTTTAATTAAATTCACACTGTTAGTATGCTTACATTTACAATATAACTTACAAAATACCATAGGCTAATATAAGTATGAATTTTACATTAACTGATTAACTCCATTAACTTTACTTACCATCTCCTTTTTAAATTTTAGTTTGTAAATTGTAAGACAATAAAACAAGGTTTCAAATTCTGTTTGTACTCTGTAAAATTAAGTCATTAACAGATTGATAGACTATTTTCATTCACTAATCGATACATCGTAGTCTTGTAAGTTAGAGTCGTTCGAATTCAATGCTCACACACAATGACAGTATCACAATTTTTCGTCGTGTCATTAAGCCAATGTAACTTTCTTTTCGCTAGGTTCTGTGTCTTCAGCCCTTGATTTTCTCGGGAAGTTATGAACAGGTTTTTACTTGTTCTTCACTTTTACCCTGTAGATACGATATAATTGCTAACACAATAATAATAATAATTTGGGAGAATAATAGCTGGGATATCTCTCAGTTAAAATGTTTTCGAATTATTTATGTAAAAGCACTACAAATAATGAAAAGCATTTAGCAGAAACATTTTTAAATGTTTGGACTTGCTACAAAAAATCACGGGCTTGATTCCTCGATGTAACAGAATGGAGATAATTCATGATGTAGTTTTGAACACACAAATAACAACACATTTTTCAGTGTCATTTCATTGTTAGCCGATACTTAAAAAAATTCACAATTGTGAACTTGTAGAAACATAAGGCTTTATTAAAGAAAGAACTTTTAATCTTGTAATGTGAAAATTAAAGTTTTATTTATGGGATAAGAGAAGTAATTATTTGTTTATGAAAAACATATTTTATTAAAAAAGAACGCTACGTCTCGTTTGGTCACATTATATCATGCAAATTTGTTGACAATGGTATTTCAGGATTCGTGAATCAAATCATAAAGGATGTGGTAATACTTGTATCAGAAGAACCTGCCGACAAGTGTACACAAGATTTAAATAACATTTAAAAGATTTTTATTTTTCGGATGTTAAAATTCCTCGATAGATATTATATATAGAGATAAAAAACAAAGAACTTTCTGTATAAAAAAAAACAACACCTAACGTTAACCAGTATTCGTGTGTAAAACTATACTTATTGTTACGACAGAGAAGGTCATGTGACGCTAGTAACACGTCATATTCTCGAAGGTTCGTGAAGTCTCGAGAGGCTACTAGATATGCGGTAGTCTTGTACATATAAGACGGTCAAGACGTGACGGCAACAATGCCTAATTGACAGTTGAGTTGAGCACGTGAGACGTTTGTGGTGAATTATAGCGTTTGTTATAGCGCGACTGTGGAAATTAAGTGTATTGCGAAGTTGTATTCAGAAAGAATAAATCAGTTTTATTTAAGAAAGGACTTGTATCGCTAAAGTTTCTTCAGAAAGAATTTTTATGGAAAATTAACTAACGACCGGAGGTGTAACATTATTTTAAAATTTCCCTATTTAACAATTGTGTCTGATTTTCTTTTATTTTGTTACTTAGTGATGTTGATACTGCAACACACAATGTTTTTGTGTCTATTCTTCAAACATCCCAGTGGCACAGCGGTATGTCTGCGCCTTACAACGCTAAAAACCGGGTTTCGATGTTCGTGGTGGACAAAGCAGATATATGTGTAGCTTTGTGCTTAACTTCAAACAAACTGTTATTCAAATATACCAATCTAACGATGCTAAGTAAATCTAGCAAAACATAATTACTTGTATTATTTGTAAATAATAATTTAGTAATGAGGCTTATTTGACTGTAAAAACTACACTTGTTGAAGGATTATCATTTTACGTTAAGCGACCGAGTGCATAACAAGAAAGCAGTTTCTGTCGAAGGTTATAGCTGGGGAGCCAATAACAGACACACAAAAATCAGCCTATTTCTACCGTAGAGAAAAAACCCTAGTATTATTTTAATATTAAAGCTGATTATTCGCGCATAATAACAAGTATCACCGTTTTGCAAATATTGTTCAGTCTTTGTAATCGAAGTTTGATTTTTAAGTAAAAATGTCCCTATAAGTAGAGTTTATATATATATATATATATTATTTACGTATAATATTGTAACAAATGTGAAATTTTATTGCATTTGTAACTACTTGGATCTGGCATGACCTGGTGGTTAGGGCGCTCGACACGCGAGTTCGAATCCCGTCACCGAGCATGCTCGCCCTTTCACCCGTGGGACGTTATTATGTGAGATCAATGCCACTTTTCATTGGTAAAAAACGATTAGCCCAAGAGTTGACGGTAGGTGGTGTAGACTAGCTGCCTTTCCACTAGTCTTCGCTGTTTAACGACAAATTTTCAAGCATCGTGCTGATATCAAGTTGTCAATTGATATATGAGAGTTAGATATTTTATAGGCTTGGCAAATAAATGTCCGACTTATTGCACAGCCACATAAACAAAAATGTACACTCGCCTGCAAGTCAATGAGACGGGATTCGAGGAATTGGGTGGGCTTCAGAGGAGTGTCACGGTTTCCGGTATTCAAATTAGAACTCCAAAAAGCCACACTTTATTACCAAATAAACTCACCTCTCATTACTAGTGTTCTGCCACAGAGATGCAGGGTTTAGGGGATTGACAAGACTGTGTTTCTCTTCCACAAAATAAAAGTGTACATCTGAGGCAGATGCCGCATCCAGCCACCTTACAATGGTAATTAAGGTGTGTTGGGCGTTTTATTTTTATCGACAAAACTGCAGAGAAAACAGCTTCATTGAGCCGAGAAATCAGACCTTGTATTGCGCATCATGCGTAGCCACTACCGTGCTTTTTGCGAGGTTTTTAATTTTGGTATAATTTTTTTTTTACTTCGTCATAGCCTGGAAACTAATGCGAATTCGGACACGCTGGTGGGCAATGCAGATATTGCAAGTTCAAATCTCTATTCAAAATTTAAAAAAACAAGAAAGCTTTGTTTAAAAATCAACTCCCCAAGTATGTCTCCCTCAGTCTCTGACTGGGTGCTAAAAGTTTTGAAGAAAAAATACGGTTTTAACTGGGCCTTTCTTTGAGTATCACTCTGGAATAAAAATGATCTCGTTGTTGTTGCTAAACCCACAGGTAAAATACCAGAAAACTGAATATGAAACTCTACAGCTATATATCATATAAAACACTGAATATGGAATTCTCAGAACTTAGAAGTAAACGACCCGTTTTTTTTCTTTTTGAGTTGTAATGCCACATCATATGTTATTATTAACGAGGGTTATCTGCGTTAGACGTTCATAATCTAGCAGTTCAAGACTAGAGGGAAGGCTGCTAGTCATCCCCACCCACTCTTTTACCAACGAACATTATAACGCCCCCATGTTTGGTGGGACGGGGATTCGAACCCACGACCCTCAGATTATATATATCGAGCGCCCTAATCACCTGGCCCTTTATGACTTACTAATGTAGAATGTTTATGGGAACACTTATTATCCATATCAGGCCAATTAGCACTGACCCAAAGGATATATCATTTTCACACAACTATCTTGCAGTTCTGTAGCTCATGACAAATAAAAGGCCACAAGTCTTCTGTATTTCATATACTTACATAGTTAACTTTCAACGATTTTATAAATTTGTATCCACAATAGGTCTAAATTGCGTACAACAAATAACATTCTTACAGTTTTTTTAAGAGAAGTTAAACACACTTCATTTTAACACTTCAATCTAACAAGTTTCTACTTTCATTTTACAATTATCTTAGGTAATAAACTTTTCATTCCCTGCCCTTTGTAAGCTTATACTCAATTCTTAATTTGGAATGAATGGTATTTCACACTTGTAACTCTTATAGAAATCAATTTTTGTTGGGTTTTTGTCAGTCCTAAAAAAAGTTAATTTTTAACTGACACAACACAAATTAGGAAACTGTTTAAACACAATCTCAACACAAAACGGACATTCAAGTTTATCTCCTACACATTTGTTAGGTCAACTTGCAACACCTTTCTTTGACCTCAGGTACAGAAAATGTCATTGTGTCCTTATTTTATTACTGTGAAGAAAAGTGCCATTAAATCTTCTTTATCCTGGCTGACATTTTTCTTGGAATGCACCTGCTTGTAGATCGTAACAAAGAATACAATTTCTTATAAATCTTAACTTACAGTTTCGTTTATCTTTTCCTTGAGACTGTACACATCAATATTGTCAAGTTAATAACATTCTTTGGATTCACAAAACAAGTATTAGCTCTCCTACTACGAGAATAAATACACAACTGTTCAATATTGAGATACCTT